AGTTGGAAAACAGCACAGTTGCAAGATCATTTATGAAAACTAGGAACAGGCGTCGCCCGAGTACCAAGCCCTGAGGTACGTCGCACAGAACTTCGATTGGTTCCGAAATAGACACTGAGCCATCGAAAATACATGAGGAACAAAATAGAAAAAGGTACAAATGTCCGGAACAGATAACAAATATTTTTTGGCTTTTGTTGTTAGTCGGTTTTCACACGCCATTTGTTCCTACTGAGCATATTGAATGGTATAGTTCTAATCACATTGTCCAAAACAATCCAATAAACAGTCCTTCCATTGATTCCGGTTTCGTGCCATATCGCGCCAAGTGTGTCAAACCATTGGCAGTCCTCATCCTTGGGCCCCCAATCAGGAAGACGTACTGAGCCGACCATTGCGTAACAGGAAGTCAGCGATTTTATGGTTTGACGCCAAGTGGTTGACTGGCATCCACGCGTTCTCTTCCAATTCAATTCAGTGTGAGCAAATAAGGTGCGACGTAGTAAGCGCTCGCATGACATACGTAGAACGTGACCAAGCCACCTAAATTGATCCATTGCGATAAGACGATTAAGCGGAGGGCGCATGTTTCCCAAGACGCGACACCGGACCTCATGGTTGCGAATCCGGTGCTGCCACCACACAAGGGCTATCCGTCACAAACATGCGTTGTCGAAGGTCGAAAACCTACGCAGGTCATCCACACGAATTGGTCAGGACTCACATCCGTGCAGCAGAACCGCGAGGACACAATCGTTGTAGACCCTCCCCTTTAAGGAGAGGGATTTGTCCCGACGACGCCACAAATGACTCAGGTTGGTAAATGCTGATCGGGCTCTGGTGATGCAAAGAGATACCTCTTCTCCAATAGTGCCATCAGCAGAAATGCACGTTCCAAGGTAGACAAAGATGTTCACAAGCTCTAGTTGTGTTCCTTCAATAGTAAGTGAGGGGGAAGACGACTTGCAGTCTGGAGTAGCACTGTACACTTCAATGGGGAAACGCGCATACCATACTTAGACCCTTCAATAGCTAGACGGTTCAAAATGAGTTGTACCCTGTGGGAATCGTCACCGAGCAGAGCGATATCATCCGCATAATCTAAGTCGGCCACACGATAGCCAGGATGAAGCTTAACACCAAGATTTTGGAAGCCTTCCAGAGATCTCAACAGGACGTCCTCAATTGCAAAGTTAAAGAGGAATGGGGATAAAGGGCACCTTTGTCGCACACCAGTAGAGATAGCGAAGGGTGAGGAAAGCTTGCCATAAACCCTCACTCTACCTGATACTTGGAAGTAAAGCGCCCGAATGATAGAAATGTACTTTCTGGGGACCCTATTTCTTAGAAGACGGTGCTATAAAGCAGGTCGATCAATCGAGTCAAATGCAGCTCGAATGTCCAGAAAAACGACAATGGTTGGCTGGTGGTAGAGATGGCGGTGTTCAAGGATTTGGCGCAACGTGATGATCTGGTCCACGCATCCTCGATCGGGGCGAAAACAAGCTTGTTCTTCTCGGTAAAACAACTCGCGGATCGGCGATAGTCTACAGAGCAGAATGGATGTCAGCAGTTTGAAAGCAACCGGTATGAGACTGATCCCTTTGTGATTAGCACAAGATGTAAGAGCACCTTTCTTGAAAACAGGGACAATTACTGACTCACCCCAGGAGAATGAAATCTTCTCTTCGTGACATATACTGGAAAATAGCGATAGCAACGGCTTGACAAGTGCTGAGCTGCCAAACTTGAACATCTCCGGAGGAAGTTTGTCCGGGCCTGGAGACTTGAATCCCTTCGGGTGTCGAATCTCGACGAAAACCTCCGCTTCATTAGGTGGCTCCAATGAAATGGCACAGGGTATGCAACTGGGTGTACTTGGCATACTAGCGGACAATGGATGGGGAGTCTTCGCAGGTTAGTGATCCACGACCCACCCGCTTCACAGATAGTCTCGCAGACAACAGGCCTTCTGGGGGCCGGTGAACCGAGTGAGTTGGAAAAGCTTGCGAAAATTGCCGGAGTGAGCAAAGGTTTCCATCTACGAGGCGTGCTGAGACAAACAAGTCTCGCGATGATTACGCAAGCTCTGTTTGAGTTGCCGTTTGAGAGTCTGGCGCATAGGATTATGAGGTGACTCTAGTAGCAGAATCCGACGGCGGTCAAACAGTTCTAGCGACCAAGCGAGCGGAGATCCAACTTTTCAAAGGGTGTTGGGTGAGAACACAAAGCGATTGACCAGAGGAAAGTATCGCTTCGTGTGAACAAGCCCTATGTTTCTCAACATCCTGAGGTGGACTACAGGCGAAAACATCCGATAGTGCAGGTTGATAGCTCAATTGGACAGAGAGGTCAACTAAGTTGTTTGCGTCAATCTTACGGTGCAGTTGTTTCCGGGGCCCACCGAAGCGCATGCAGATGTTCGCACAAACCAGCGCGTGATCTGAGTCGAGGTAGATTGACCAGAATGACCTGCAGTCTTGTATACTACCGCGCCAACGGAAACTGGTTGCGATGTGATCGATCTGGGACCGGAACTGTGTTGACGACGGAGAGCACCAAGTTGTGGAACGTCTCGTGTTATGCCTGAAATTGGTGCTGGAGAGGAACAGATGGTTGTCCTCGCACAATGTGAGAAGCCGGTCCCCATTATTTGTGCGTCTCTTGTTAAGCGCGTGCTGACGTCCAAGGTGGCGTTCAAACGGAAGCAGGCGACCCACCCGTGCATTAAAATCACCAGCAAGTATAATAACATCTGACTTGTCCACTTTACTCAAAAGAAGGTGAAGTTCGCGGTAAAAATCATTCTTGACAGAGTCGCTGCTGCAGTCAGTTAGGGCGTAGGTAGAAACGACAAACAGGTTACGTGTTTCTTTGCGAAGTCTTGGATACGACATGATACCTGAAGCCGAACTGCGCAAAGCCGACTGTTAACTGGTAACCAGTCTAGCAAGGCAGCTTCGGCTTTCTTACTTAGCGCTATCCCAACGCCAGCCAAACCTGCTGCAGCTGCTTCTGCATCAGTGGATAGACGCAGTTGGTATATGGTTCCGCGATCAGAAGGGAACCTCAGCCTGAGTACGCTGCTGGGATCCTGCAACCGGGTTTCGGAAATGCAACAAACGTCAGTGGCGAGAGACTCCAGGGTGCAAGTCAGGCCGGCATGTTGATCAATCTGTATAAATATTCGTATGTTGAAGCAGGCCAATTGTAACATCGGTCGAAGTTGAAGTACGGCTACCGATTGATCTTTTCGAGTGTCGGCAAAACAGAGATAGGATGCAGAATCAACAGAGGTAGGATTTATAACAAACGAAGTGTTGGTGTGTGATAGAAGTTGACGAACGGCAAAAGCAGCAATAGCGAAAGCGTGGAAAGAAGGTAAATCCATGGTTAAAACTCGAGCTGGTTCCATTAGAGACCCCACAGCGAGGAGCAACCAAGCATGTTAAGGGCTTATTCCGTCTGTTTGAGTGTGCAACCGAAGTTATCGCCGGCTACGGGGCGACCTCATCCTGACATTCCAGATCTTGTAAAACCCGACCACGTTTGTCACCACCTCCTGAAACAGCCGTAACACAACATTAAAGGATCATCAGCTAAAACTGGCCACATAACACAGCTAGCTGGAATGTCGCCGGAATTACGTTTCACTTCGAATTTGTCACCCGTGGAACGCTATTTCTGCACCCACGCTACCCATTTCTAAAAAACAACTTGGCGATGCATTACACCGCTTGTATGACTTGATTGGACTTCTGTCCCCTGAGTGACAAGACAAAACTCAGCAGTGCTCACGAAATCGAGGTAGATGGATTTACATGGGTTATACTAAGGGTAGTATGGTCTGTGCCCCATGCTGAGGCTGATGTCGCAATCATGATGCTTCTTCACCGCAGTTGGGCTAAACCAACTTACACCTAAACTAGGTCTTTTTAATGTGGATAAAATTCATTACGTTTTATTTTAGTTTTGTTCTGCCTACTTGATAATTTCCCAACTTACGCACGTCGCTCATGAAAATTGTGGTAAACCTTCGTAATTTTATCGCGTGGTATTTTTATATGACTTTCGGATATTTTGTACTTATCGCGTATTCACATTTAACCAATTTCTTCCATATGCTCATTTAGCGAGTATTTATGTCGTCATATATGTTTACTTTATTCGATATCGGCATTTCGAATGATTGGTTGTTGCTTGATATCCCCGGTGTGGCTGCGCTTGATGTGCATGTTGACAAGGTGCCTACCTGTCTATTACGCACTACCTCGTCCATACTGACTTCAGGAGACAATTGGTCGTTGCTGGAGGGGACGGGGTGCACGGTCCTTGTGGCCGTGCTAGGCTCGAAGAGCGGTTCCATGCACTCAGTGTGGAGCGGACTACGGTCCAGCCACCGCCTTGTGTGTGCGCTTGATTCCCCAAATACAGCGTGCTTGTGTTTGCCTGTGAAGGAGTGTGGGCCGGCTCCGTTGATGAAATGTGGCTCCCATCTGCATGCCTCCCGACCTTATTTCTTCGGGTTTACACTGGATATGGGGTGTGTGGTTGGAGCTGTGGGTGGTGCAGCGCAAGCCATCCAGGGTCCATCTGTAGGTGCAGGCGTCCTGTGGCTGGTCGCAGTGATAGGCAAATCCGAAACCGAATGCCGCCAACCAGGGTCTGTGCACAGAATCGTGTGTTTCATACAGACTACCCCCCACGGGAGTTGTCACTTCTTAGCCTTTTTCACCCGTAATCATACTAATGTACCACTGACAGATTTGACGTTTGAACTCAAAAACCAGAGGCTCTTTGAGTGTAGTACCAGTTAACACAAGAGCACCTAGAAGGTAGATGGATGGAGACAGAGTCCGGGAAATGTCATATATATATATATATATATATATATATATATATATATATATATATATATATATATATAGAGAGAGAGAGAGAGAGAGAGAGAGAAAACATTCGGATAGTAGTAGTGGGTGAGCAGAAAATGAATGGCTTACATCCGATGTCATGTAGTATAGTAAACTTTCTTCAGTTAACACGAACCAGCGGCGCTTCCAACTTCGTACACGGCCACCTAGTGCGAATAGAGAGGATGGAAATTGGTCAACGCGGTACAATGCGAATTAAACGAGAAGAAGCAAACCGATGTAAAAAAAAATACAACGTTGATGGAAGAAACGAAGTATGAAATGCATGTAGGTAAAAATTGCAGTAAAACATGAAACAGTAAACAAAGCGCATACCCAGCAAGAGAAGTGTATCGCAGTGCAATTGCATGAATAAGCTAACCAGGTGAGTCAGTGGTTGCAAATACCGGAGCGCAACACGAAGGGTACCATGGAAATATGGATATCACTCGAGAAAAGGATGGTGAGGACGCACAAAAAACGCCCATAGCCCATGCACCATTAAATGTGGTAAAGGAAGGTTGATCTGCCGCTTGCTTCGCAACTAATGAGGGCTGCCAAAGTTATGTAATCAAGTGGTGGTATACAGCATAACATTTGATGGGCGAATATGAAGAAGAGGAGGCTTTTCAAAGCATCGGGTGATAAAACTAGTGAGAATGTTTGATAGTCTTAAATCTCAACGTGAAGTCCATCATGGAATTACGAAACAAAACGCAACTACACTGCTCGTGCAGTCGCGTTGGAAGCAAGATAAGATCAGGCCAACGAAAATTTGACCAACTATAACAGGGTTATAGAACAATGATGAAGTTATATATAGCCTCTAGCCTGGTGAAGGAGCAACTGCGCAACGAACAACCGATGACACGCCGTGTGACGCACGAAACTACAACAAAGCATTGGAATCATAGATCATAAGAGTGTGTTAGTTCATGGCAACCAGCCAGTGAAAGGTAGTATCATAATAATGCCACACCAAACCACATTGACAATACAACAAGAGAAAAAGTGAATAGAACCCGGAATAAAGCAAGCTAGGTGCGAGGCCATCATCAACATTATACACGTTAGCTGCAGATGGAAAACACCTCAGCTATTGTGCCGCAACACAAAAGACAAGAAAAGGAAAACAAACAGTGGCACGCCCGCTGAGTCCCCAGTAACGAATGGACATCGTTCCGGAGAGCTAACAGCTGGCTGCCGTAAAAATAGAATCATATCATGCCTTACGAGTGAGATCGTGATTGGAGGGGGATGCTAAGCAGGAGGCGGATGGACAAAGGAACTCACAACACAAACGCCATTGGGGCTGGCTCCAGGCCATATCAGCGAGTGTGTCCAACCAAACGTGTTCACCGTCCTTAGGGCCGCAGCCAGGCAGTCGGGATGCACCAACCGACGCCAACTTCGAAGTGAGGGTTTTCATTTCTCTCGACCAAGTCATCACTTGGCCTCCCTCTCCTCCTCTTCCAATCGCACCCACAACGCGAAAACAATGCACCTCGTGGGAGTCGGTGTGCTGGCATGCGCAACACGTGGCCCAGCCATCGGAGCCTGGTGCGTGATATAATGGTGCTGAGCAGTTCACTCGCTCTTCCTGCACCAAATACGCGACGCCGAACACGCTCGTTGCTCACGCGGTGCTCCCACTAGACATGAGCTAAGCTACGAAGGCAGCGATGATCGAATGTGACGAGTCTTCTTGTGTCTGTCGACCTAATGGGCAAGGTTTCACAACCATATAGGAGAGATGAACGGACGGCGACGTTATAAACTCTGCCCTTCAGGGCAGGAGTAATGTCGCATCTGCGCCACAGGTGGCGGAGATTGGCAAAAGCCCCTCGAGCTTTTGCCACTGAATGCTGAAAAATGCAACGCCTACGAACCATACCAGAGAACGGTGAGAGGTGGTTATGATAGCCGAAATTCAGCCTATCATGTATGCATCAAACAACAAACACAGTTAGCAGTTAATCTATGTTTTAAACAAAGAGTCGCTTCAGGGGAGTGAAAAGCCCTTCCCTCTTAATGGGATGAAACTATCCTATAAAATCGTGAGATAATGTCGGCTCCGCAAGGAACGTTATGTCTCAGGAGTCCAGCCAGTCTTCTGCATGTAGAGAATCCGGGCAACAGCAGGGGACGCATACCGCATTATATCAAAACCGAAAAAATGGTTGCAGTGACTGCCGCTCTCTTTAGTTTCCCAAGTGATCCTAACCACAGAAACGTATGTGTAGTATTGTGGGTTCCAGCTACGTAGGAGACATGGAATGCGCACTGTTGGTGACTCGCTAAAGGAAGAAACTGCTGCGAAGTGTTCTTCGTTGTCCGAAAGTGGCTGTGTTGAATTTCTTTCGAAAACCCCGAGGGTACTACTCGCTGAGAGCAAATTTTACAGTGGAGATATCCACACTTTAATCTATCATTAGCAAGTGATCTGCACTCAAAAGGTGCACGGTAATATTAAAGCATCACAGATCCCTTTAAAGGAACGCAAAACGGTATGATCAGATGTGTCCGTTGAAGGTACCGTATAGTACCGAATATAAGTCAGTACATGCATAGACCGACTGTATAACTTTGCAGTACAAAAAGAGAATCGTAATTATTTGTCCACGATTTCGACATCGCCACAAGCTGCTCTCCTATTGGTCATTTGTGGTGACCGTAATGTAGGCGCTTTTGGTTCGTTACGCAAAAGAGAGCTAACCCGGCGCCACATGATCCATGAGACCATTCGTCACTAGCTAGTGGTTTGAAATAAATGAGAATATCTGTAGCTCGGGGTGTGGATGCGGATTTTGAGCAGTTCTCCGAGCTGGGTAATTATTTTGCAGACGTTTCGTTGCCTGACTAGGCAACATCATCAGTGCGGCTTCACGGGCCTGGTTCGCAGTGCCTCGTAAGCGACTTCAATGTCCAAGTGCTTATTGATCGAGTTCTGTTTTGAATGCCAGGCTTCAATGAACTCACGTGCTCGCCGGCTTTTAGCCCTTCCGAGGATACTGGCATGTTCTAGGTCGAATTGATGGTTCTCAGCATCCATATGCACTGACATCAGGGAGTTCTGGTCGTGGCGACGTATGGCTAGGCTGTGTTCGTGTAGCCTTGTGCCAAGCTTCCTCCCGGTCTGTCCCACGTAGTATTTGTCACAGTTCCGGCAGCAGATCTTATAAATCACACCAGTTTCTTCTTCTTTGCTAAGTTTATCTTTTACTTTGAAGAGTTTACTGCGAATTGTTTCTGTTGGCTGGTGTGCAACTTTGACTCCAAAAGGCAATAAAAGCCTCGCTGCCATTTCAGAGATACCGTTGATATAGGGCAGTGTTGTTCTCTTTTCAGTTGTTGCATTTGTCGAGGTGTCTCGAGCAACCTTTCCTGGTGCGAGGCAGGGTAGAATGAAGCCTTTTGGGTACGAGTTCCGCTTGAACAGATTGAAGAGATGATCTTCCTCTGCCCGTCTCAGCTGCGGTGTGCTACAGTGGGTTTGTGCTCGTTTGAAAAGGGTTTGCACGCAGCTGCGTTTGTGGGCTGCCGGATGATTGCTGCCGTAGTTGAGGATCTGGTCCGTATGCGTAGATTTTCGGTAGACTGTTGTTTCCAATCGTTCAGCACCAGTTCTTCGTATGAGAACGTCTAAGAATGGTAACTGCTCGTTGTTCTCTTCCTCCCTGGTGAATTGGATGCCATCAAACACACCGTTAATTAGTTCGTGTGTTTCCTCCAATTTGGAACGTTTGAGGATGACGAAGGTGTCGTCTACGTATCGTACCCAAAGTTTTGGTCTCGCGATCGGGAGTGCTATTTGTTCCAGCGCCTGCATCACTGCCTCGGCTACTAGACCAGAGATCGGCGATCCCATTGGTGTGCCTCTTATCTGTTCGTAAATTTGGCCATTAAAACTGAAATGTGTTGTTAAACAGAATTCCAATAACTCCATCATCTGTTTGGGTTCGAGTTCACTGTTTGTATCGGACGACATGTGTTCCTCTAGCAGGCGCGTCATTGTTTCGCCAAACCAATATCGATGGAGGTGAACAAGGCGGTAACATCGAAAGAGACCATTATTTCGTCTTGTTCAATGGTTGCGGTCTTAAGTTTCTCAAGGAACTGTTCTGCCGAGTTGATTGAGTGTTCTGATCCCGCGGTTAAGTGTTTCAGCCGTCTCCAGAGCTCCTTTGCAAGCCTGTAATTTGGTGCTCCAGGTAACGACACGATGGGACGAAGCGGTACTCCGCTTTTGTGTACTTTAGGTAAGCCATAGAACCGCGGTAGTACCGAGTCTTGTGGTCGCATCCTCTTGTGTTCCAACTTTGTGATTTTCCCCATTTGTTCCAGTTTTTGCAGAGTGCGTCTGATGTTGTCTTCTAAGCGTTTTGTCGGGTCTTCGTTTATCGGCTGGTATGTGTTGGTGTCACTGAGTAGGTGTTGTGCCTTCATCATGTAATCCGATTTGTCCATTATAACAGTAAGACGTCCTTTGTCGGCCGGCAGTATAACTATGCTCTTGTCTTTCTTGAGATTCTCCAGAGCTCTCCGTTCAGCGGCGTTGAATTTGTTGGTTTCAGCTTTATGACTGAGAGCCGGGATGATTCTGTGTCTGACCTCTTGTTGTGCTTCAGGCGCGATGTTGTACGATTTTAGCGTCGATTCAAGTGCAGCGAGGAAGTCGATAGGATTGGAGTCCTTAATATTTAGTTGCATACCTCGGACAATGACTGCTTTTTCCGCGTCCGTTAATCCTCTTTTGGATATGTTTGCAATCCAAGCATCGTCTTCCTTAGGTGGTTTCTTATGCGAGATCGAATTCAGCTTCTCTTCAAGCCTCCGTTTGGTGTTTAGCTGCTGCCTCGCACCAGGAAAGGTTGCTCGAGACACCTCGACAAATGCAACAACTGAAAAGAGAACAACACTGCCCTATATCAACGGTATCTCTGAAATGGCAGCGAGGCTTTTATTGCCTTTTGGAGTCAAACTTGCACACCAGCCAACAGAAACAATTCGCAGTAAACTCTTCAAAGTAAAAGATAAACTTAGCAAAGAAGAAGAAACTGGTGTGATTTATAAGATCTGCTGCCGGAACTGTGACAAATACTACGTGGGACAGACCGGGAGGAAGCTTGGCACAAGGCTACACGAACATAGCCTAGCCATACGTCGC